GCGTTTCTGGTGTGGCCTGTGTCCATCCACTCTCAACAATCTCTTTGACAGATGGGTAAACAGACTTAATGAACACATCTGTAGACACCTGAAACACAGCCAGTGAAGAGTGATTGACTATATGCATGGTTACATATCAAGTACAATAATATATCAATAAATACACATTAAAAAATAATTATTGTATATCACTCACAACTTCTTCTAATAGTGTAATACATATAGCTACATGTACATGTACATGTAGAGGTGCAGAGGTAACAGGCTAATTGTAAATAACTATCATACAGAAACTGATTGGAAATCTTAAAGAAATTAAAGGTGAGTATTCAAGAAAATGGAGCCAATAAGATTGTCACATTCATGATACATATACACCAGTTGTGTAGAACCAGTGATGATAGTACCACCATGTAATAATTATTGTATATTGTATTTAGCTCTTATTAACCGAGCTTAGTTGGTCTGTATGGGAGAATCTTGACCGAGGTCGGGAGTACAGACCGAATGCAGTGAGGTCTGTACACACGACCGAGGTCAAGATTCTCCCATACAGACCAACTAAGCTCAGTTAATAAGATGTTTATTATACGGCAAAGAAGAAAACTTTAACTTGTTTAATGTAACTGGTTTGCTTACATTTTGCTTGCAAATGGAGACGAGCTTAACTTAAACCTGCTGAAATTTGCTTGTCCCCTTTACCTTTTTTCTTTGTCATCAGGCTTTTTGGCACTTCCATAAATGATTGAGAAGAAAATAAAAGAAAATGGTGAACATTTTTGCATTTGAGTTTGCTACTTTTTCAACGCAAAATGAAACCGGTCTAGATGCCCGTCTAGATGGGAAAATCTAGACCGCGGTCAATATTGATTTCAGCCAATCAAATTTGTGAATTCTGTAGTTCCAAGTCCTTGTGAGACACAGCCATATAATAATAGTATATACCACACAAGTGAACAGACTGTACTTTCCGCACACGCTGATTGGCTAGCTCGGAGGTGATTAGCCAAGTACTATTCACTTCCGAGCAGCCGAAGAAAAACAAAATCGCTTCCCGTTTCAAACAAAGTTACTCTTAATCAAATAAAGCTACCCTTTGGTCCACTAGTTATTCGTAAGCTCTGGCGACTGGAGAAATTCGCCATCTAGTCGTCCTTGGCGCACTGGCTACTTATAATGAATAAATTATGAAAAAATTTTATTTGTAACAATGTGAGCCTATCCATCAATAAAATCAAGCATAAAAACAGTATGTCTAATTTTCTCAACAAATACATAGCGATTAAAAAATACAACTCTTATAGCTGTAACATAAAAGAAATCTGAAATCATTCGGGCCATGAGAATTGCCGCCAAAAACGTGATGTGGGTACTGGACTGTGACGGCAGCACTGAAATATTTGACAGCCGAGGTTAAGTTGAAGCTCAGTTTTTCCTCTGAAAATGAAGCGAAAAACCCAGCAATTGCTGTTCAATACCAGGGATAAATTAAAAAGAAAATAGAGATGGCATAAACGAAGGTCGTAAGTTGTTTTCTTTCAAAATTATAATTAAAATTAGTTCTTTTATCTCCAGTGAATGTACATGTAATTTAATTAGTTCTATAAACACAACAACATGCAACCCAGTGCTTGGCTTGCACATGGAGGATTTTCGAGAACAAATACCTGCAAAGATTTCTTTCAACAAAAGAAACAAACTTTGCAAGATCTTACACAATCTTTAAACTCAGCAGCCGTAAGATGTTTGTGTAAATATTGAAAGTGAGATATAAAACTGGTGAGCTTATCAAGCAGGGAAGTATGAATAAATACATGCACTATTTCAAGGCTTCACTATAATGCAAAACATTTGCAAAATATGTCAAGTTTAAGTTTGATTGTATTAATTTTATCACTTTTGAAATCATGAA